ATTTATATCAGTAGTATTATAAATGAATTTAATATTCGCAAAGCAAACAAATACGAATTAGCAAAAAAAATACGAAAAAACACGGCCATAAGCATGAACGGTCAGAAAAACCGCGCGTTTTAGGCTGCTTTTTCTGAGTTTTTGGAAGTTTAAGATAAAACTAAGACGTCATACCTCAGGAATTATTTAAACCCATGCAAAATACATCTGTATGCGAAGTTTCAAGAAGATTGAATGTTTTAAGGTCGAAAAAAAAGCATGTGAAAATTGACAAAAATATTGCCATATTCAAAGTGCTCATAGTGGCCAACAAGATGCCGATGACGAAAATAACATCACTTGAAAAACGCCAATTTATTTATGTTTAAGAGCGACTAAAACAAGGACTAAAAGCTCAGGATCAATAACAATACCTGGGGTTTAGTACAACATAAGTTTTGGGACTGGCAAAATGTTTTATAGTATATATTTTTTAGTTGAACGGCGAGATTTCCTTCGGCACATCCAAACTTTCGTCATTTTTTCAAAATACAAAAGCAAAATTCCTTACTTTTTGCTGCAGAGAGATGTAAAACAGTCGGAACTAATCGGAAACTTGGTTTAAATCCCAAGTCATTGTTGTATTCCCATGGGAAAAGTGTTTTTCTTGCAAATTTTTGCTCGAAAACAAACTTTTGACAGAATTTTTTTCACTCCTCGAAACTCTCCTTAGTCCTTTTGAAAGCTGATTTTCCCGCGCGCCGGCTTCAACGAATCATAGACTTTCATCATAGGAGTTAGCCTTCCAGTTATTATTAGAGTTCACTGGTTTTGGCCCGTCCGTGGATGACAAAATGACATAAATCGAGATTGTAGCGGCTATAAACTCGGCGGTCACGTGGTAAGCACACCACGTGTAGAGATTAGTGTGCTGCCTCGCTACGCTCGGCAGCAATAAATGGATAGGACTCTAGCTGACGTCACAGTCTAAACCTAGTTGCAATCTGTGACGTCACGCATATTGCCAAAGTTCTCGGCATTTTTGTTGTTTCACTATATTTTCCGCTTTAAAAGAGTAATATTGAAGCATAAAGTGGTCTAATTGTTTTAAAAACATGCCTAAGCCATGACAAAGTATTCAAGGTAAATGTTTTTCGTCTTTGCATGTTTTGTATTTTTTTACATTTGTAGCTACGAAATTGGCATCACCAATTTTAACGAAATTTGGGATGCATTTTTCACTGTTTAGTGCTTGAAATATTTGCTAAAATTGACTGGAAATACTTGGAGATTTCATCGTAGAATGGTGTAATTATATATTTATTTGTTCTTTGACTAAAATGTTTAGCTGTATTATTGCTAAACATGCCGTTTCCGAGAATTTGGTTTGCAACTAGGTTTCAACATCTAACTACGCCATCATCCCATTGAAAACATTAGGTCATGTCAGCTGGAGTCCTATCCATTTATTTTATTATCCATGGTATGATTGAAATAAGGATTTTGAACTAAATAAGACCAAAAACCTCAAGATTTGTCCTGCAGCTTGCTCTGTGTAGCACGGTCCCAATAAACTCCATTAAGAGCCTCGTACATTTTCTTTCATTAGTTATGGGCGCACATTTGGCAAAACATGGAGATGGCGTGAAAGATGTTGCTTTTGATGTTGAAAATTGTGTTGGAATTTTTAAAGTAAGAATTTGTTTTTGCAATTGTTGAAAAATTCAGTCTTTTCGAGCAAACATGTATTGTCAATTTTTTTTTCATCCAGGCGGCTGTGAATCGTGGAGCTCAGGTTGTCAAAGAACCGTGGGAAGAATCAGACGAGAATGGCAAAGTGATATTTGCATCTATACAAACAGTATGTGGAGAAGTTTTAAATTTTGAATGATGATATTTGAGACCTGGAAGTGACAAATTAAATGTCTAATATGAGCTTCTAATTACGGTAATTTATTTTAAAGTATGGTGAGGTTTGTCACACGTTTGTGGAAAGAAAGGATTACAAAGGCAATTTTCTGCCTGGGTACAAGAAACCAGCATTTGAAGATCCACTTCTTAAAACCTTGTAAGTGTTTGAATCTAATTAGTTCAGCAACGTCAGCGAGTCATTTAGGAATTTTATTAGCGATTTTTGGATCTTTTTCGAGGTGTATGAGATTATTTTGGGAGCGATATACACACCATGATCTACACTAGACAGGCAGGCCTCGAATTTCCCTGAAATCAATCGACGGCAATGGCATTAAAAATTGCTGTAGCTAGAACGTAACAGCTGTCTACGGTAATTTTGGCAGTTTCCACGGCATTTTTCAAATTACTGTAATAAAACTTTAATTTTATTGTCACTTTGGATTTTTGACAAACTAGAAACATGTCTACGTATTTCTTTAGTGTTTTTTTTTTTCGAAGAAACTGGGACTAAAATAGTGATTTACGCATGATTTGATCAACATCTGAATTCAAGTATCGAAGTAGTAATGCACAGTGAATAGTATAAAACTCGCACTATACGGCAAAAGATTGCCGTCGTTGCCGCAATCATCCACGGCATTTTGTTCTCCCTCTACGGCAATTGCCGCAATTGCCACGTGCGATAAAATTCGAGCCCTGCTGCCCAGTGCTGGACGCCACATTTGAGATAGTCTTCATATTTCTTTATAGGCCTCCAATTGGGCTCAATTTTATTGATCATATTGTTGGGAATGTGCCAGACAGGGAAATGGTTCCAGTAACTGAGTGGTAATTCTTGTCATTTAAACAGTTTTCTTTAGTGTACAATTCATTGAACTAAGTCGTTTATTCTCACATAGGTACACCAAGACACTACAATTCCATAGATTTTGGTCTGTAGACGATTCACAGGTTGGTAGCAAGTCAGGGACGACATCGCATGAAACGGCTTGAAATTAAACTAACTTATACTAAGTAACTTAATTTATATTGGATATAGCTCTATCAATTCTAAACTTTTCTTCCAAGAGGTCCAGTAAGGATCATCTCTTATTGATCCAGTGTTGCCACAGGAGGAAACCTAAACTAAACTAACTTTATTAACACTGGATAGCTCTATCAGTTCCAAACTTTTCTTCCTAGAGGTCCAGTAAAGATTAAACTAACTTTATTTACACTGGATAACTCTATTAGTTCTGAACTGTTCTCCCTAGAGGTCCAGTGAAGATCATCTCTTATTGATCCAGTGTCACTACAGGAGGAAACCTGAGTTAAACTAACTTTATTTATATTGGATAACTCTCAAATCAGTTCTAAACTGCTCTCGCTGGAGGTCCAGTAAGGATCGTCTATTATTGTCCAGCGTCCGTTCTATAGGAGGAAACCAGAGTATTTGCAGTGTTTCATAGAGTCTAATTGAGATTTGAGAGCGAATTCTTGCATGCAACTAACATGAAATTGTAATCAGACACTAACTGTATATAAAGAACCTGCTAAGTCTTACAACTCCTTCAAGACAATAATGAAAAAGTACTTCTCAGATCTAAATTTAATAGAATAACATATTCCTGTAAGTATAGGAAAACTCTAAATCAAAAATTGAATTGTAAATATAACTTACAAGTCATATCATATAATATTTAACTATTCTTTTTCCTTTCTCCTAAAAGCACTCGAACTGATGCTGCATATTATTTTGTTAATTAGTTTAAATTTATAACCTAGGGGCCTAAAACAAAAGCCATATGGTTTCTAGTAGGCTCCTAGCCCATCTCTTGTAAATAGTTTATTTCTTTTATGTGCAATTTCAATATCTTGGGTGAAAAAAAAAATATTGCATGAATCAAACCCTGCTAGCTACTGGAGTACTGCACAAGCAACCCATGATGTCATTTCTCTCATCAGATTCACACAGGTTACAGTGCTCTCAGGTCGACTGTGATGGCAAACTACGAGGAAACGGTGAAAATGCCGATCAATGAACCGGCTGCAGGCAAGAAGAAAAGTCAAATCCAGGAATATGTTGATTACTACGGCAGTGCTGGAGTTCAACATATTGCTCTGAATACTGCAGACATACTCACTACTGTAAGTTAAACACTGTTTAATAAACGAGCTGGTGTGTTTTGTTAGGTTTTAAAACGACGCATCTTATTATGAGTTCATTGGCGAAGTAATTTTAAAAATCACTTCCCAAGCAAAAAGTTGCCCAATACCGAGAAAATGGGTGATCAATGATTATCCTCTATTAAATTGTATTACAGCAAAAATTGGGAAATTTTATAATTCAATTACAATAAAAATTACTTCCATCATCGGAAAACGTACAAAAAACCGCATATAAGACTTTTAAACAGTTTTTTGATTTTTCAAATAGTCTTTGAGTTATTCCTGTTTTAAATGTGAAAATTGGACCAAAACGTCGCAATAAGGAGTGGGTACTGGGTCAAAAACGCGTTCTTGACAGCGTATAACTCGAAAAAATTTTAGATATAAAAAAACTGTTTAAATGTCTTATATGTAGGTTTTTGTAAGCTTTCTGATGATGCAAGTCATTTTTGTTGTAATTGAATACAAAATTTCACATTTTATTGCTGTAATACAATTTAATAGAGGATAATCACTGATCACCCATTTTCTCGGTGTTGGGCAAGTTTTTTGCATGGGAACTTTTTGTGGTAATCAAGCATCTATGGTTCTATGAATTGAACCACAGAAAATCTATTTCCCAGGGGGGTGCCACGAAATTGCTTTTCTAGGCACTTTTTCGCACAACTGCCCACAGCCGAGAAAATCAAAGCTAAAGTCTATGTAAATGAGCATAATTTTTTTAGGGGTGCACCAGTGTGACCAGGTTTAGTACATTTTATTACCAGATCCGGTTGGATGCCCTTAGACAACCCCACCTGCTTTAAACAACTGCAACATTAAGAACAGGAGGGGGCAGCCAACCAATTTTAAGCAGCTTTAGTAAAAAAATTTGCATATATGGTCACACTGGGGTGCACCGGAACCAGTTTTTTAAGTTCGGCCGGAACCGGATCCGACCGGAACTGGAAAAAAGTTCCGGCCGGAACTTCCGGCCAGAACCGGAACTAATTTTTTTAGCCATATATAGTCATATGTTACTTTGTCCGCTGCAAGACAGGCAGACACTTCAAGTCATCAAGGAGAGAGCTCGCAAATGTTAGAATAAAAAGATTGACAAGCGTTAAACGTCATAATGAAGTGTTAATAGTGTACATTTCCCTCGCGTAGTCCAAATTTCTTCCTACTGTGACCTTTTGTTAGACACAAAAACGTTTGATATTCTATCTCTCTGAAAACGACAGAGTTCCGGTTCCGACCATGCTTTTTTTACTAGTTCCGGCCGGAACCGGAACTCTAAAAAATCGGGGTTCCGGCCGGAACTAACCGGCCGGAACCGAGTTCCGGTGCACCCCTAAATTTTTTATCACATATAAAACTACCGACACGGCAGTGATTTCCTTTCTCTTTTCCTCGTGAATTATTAATGAGTTTTTAACTGGTTTTGCACAGTGGCGTAACTCCTATGAGCTCTACCCGGTAAGAGCCGGGGGCACCCAGGCAAACAGGCTTCCAGGGGGGCACCTTGAACTGAGTTGTCCGGGGGCCTTGTTCATCTATAAGGTTGTACGTGCATAAGTACAGTGGCAAACATTTCACTGTTTATTCAGTCAAAAACAATTTCTGCATGGTGTTATTTCTGCATAGTTGTGATTTTTTGTTGTATATTTTGCTATGTATTTATATTTCCAATTCAAGATACCATCATAGTAAAATTCGCTTCTAAACGCTTCAAAAGTAGCTTCATGGTACTTCAAAAGGATATATAGGATACCCCTGCCTTGGGGCACCCAATTCCGCTAGTACCAGGGGCGGGCTGGTCCTAACTTACGCCTCTGGTTTTGCAAAGCCCATATGACGCTCAACCTCGTTTGCGCTCGTTCCCAGTGTATAGGAAAGAGCCTGGGGATGAGGTTGTATGTAACGCTATGGACTGGCATGGCTACCGGATTGGAGCAACTCAGGGTCGTGTTATACCTTTACCAGAGTTCAAGACCCACAATTTGTAGATTTGATTGTTCTGAGCAGTGGTGGATTTAGGGGTGCGGGGGGGCACCCCCAGGCTCTGGTCAACAGGGGTGCATGGGGGGGGGGGTGCAAAAATGACGTTTATCCTAATTCTAACCAACTTATGTTAAGGAATTCACTGGTTGGGTATCACTAGTTGACAATAGCGGAATAGCCAATATTAAACTATTCTGAATTTTTAAATGTTTTGAGAATCTAAAAATTTTCCAGAATGTTTTCTCAGAATGCTGGAAATGCCATTTCAGAGACCCAAATTTAAAAATTTTACCGGGGCAGTATGCCCCCGGACCCCATAGAAATCTCGCGCCTTCGGCGCTCGTTTCGCCATTGGTTAGCACCCCCCCCAAAAAAACAACAACTTAGCTGGATCCACCACTGGTTCTGAGTTCTATTTATCCCTCGACCTACACTCCTACAAATCATTAAGATGTGTTCGCACTGCTTATTTCCAGTTATTTGTTGTCATGTTGAAATAAGGTTGATGAGACCAACAAACTAGCAACAAATTGTTCCAACAACTTTGATATCGTCTGCATGTAACAAGTTGTTAACAAGTTAATGACAATTGAAGCTCGTAGCAACTTGTTACGAACAGCCTGTATTGGTCTTGTTGGAACAACTTGTAGCAAATCTGTTACCGTCATCAACCTTGTAACAAGGTGATAACAACTTATTAATTTCAGACTTGTCACAACAACTGGGAACAAGCAGCGAAAACACATCTTGATATCTGCTTCTCAACTTCATTAATAATTCATGAGTAAATTAGCCAATGATAATCACCTATTTGATCACAAGATGCCATTTGGATACTTGATGAAAGCATAGTTAAATTAATAGAGGAGATGGTTTGGAAACTCATTAGCATTACAATAAACCTCACTATCTATGTTTTTGTTCAGGTTTATGCAAAAATGTGGTCTTTATATCGTCACGTGCGTATTGTATTTTTGCTCAACCAGCCAATAGCAACGGTTTTGTCCAATTGCCCATCCATGACTTTAACAATAGGACATTTTGAACATTCCTATTGGTTGACTTGAAAAAAATACAATACGCACGTGACGATGAAAGACCACATTTTTGCATAAACCTGAACAACATAGATAATGAGGTTTATTGTGATTTTATTGTAATGCTAACGAGTTTCCAAATCATCTCCTCTATTAACTATGATGAAAGTCACTGGTGTTTCAAAATTACTTGAATAGAATTCCTATAATTACGTTATGTTTGGTTAAGAATTCTATTCAAATCAGCAAACGAAAACATTCTGTTACGTCTCGATTCATTTGAGAAGCCATATAAACAACTCGAGCTCGTGTCTCACCGAGATATCCAAACACTCGAAAACAATGTATGAAAACCGACTCGCGCTCGTGTTCTCATACATTGTTTTCTCGTGTTTGGATATTCCGGTGAAACACTCGCTCTCGTTGTTCATACATTACTTGACAACAACCTTGTTACAACTTGATTTCAGATCTGTGACAACTCGTGCGCTTTTTTTCGTGTGTAGATACCAAAACTGAAAGAAAGAGGAATGCAGTTTCTTACGATTCCAAAATCCTACTACGGAATCTTGAAGGAACGTCTCAAATCCTCGCGGACAAAGATCAAAGAATGTATGGAGACGATTGAGAAACTAAATATCTTGATTGATTTTGATGAGAATGGCTACCTGCTTCAAATTTTCAGCAGGCCTCTCCAAGATAGACCCACGTTATTTTTGGAGGTTATTCAAAGACAAAATTTTCAGGTATATAATGCATGTTATTTTGGGAAGGGAGGCCTGGTTTACACTATAAACGTTTCTGTGATCACAGTGCTCAGTAGGAATTTTGCACGGGTAAATTCTAAGTTTTGTAGGATTTGTTAGAAATGTTTGAGGGAACTCACATGGTGTTTAACACAGGTGGTGGACTGGTGGTCAAAATGTTGAAACTAGTTTAAACCTAGAGTGGATCGATATACCGGATATATCCGGTATTTGTTTAGATACCGGTATTGGCGATATTGACAATTTAAAAATACCGATATGCCGACATTTCGGTATTTTGCTGCCTAATACCGAATTGAAACGCTATTTCAAGTCAAACTTGCTTACAATCACGTTTAGAAAGCAAAGTTAATTAGATTTACATCACCTTGTAGTACTGAATAATTCAACACTTCGACGCCCAATCAACGGCCTACTAATAATTGCCGCTTAGCGCCGTTAACATAGCTTGATAATGCGAATCTTGTGACTTTTGCACTAATAACAGTATGTGCCACATTAATATTTTGTCAAAACTTGATTTTTCTCGACGGTCAGCAGTTCAGTTTGGTTTTAAAAAAAACACGTTACAATACCGGTATTTACCGGTATTCTGATGGCGGTATATCGGTATTCGGTATTTGCGATATCGATCCACTCTATTTAAACCGAGGGGTAAATTACTCTGAAAATCTTCGTACACTTCATCAAAAATCCAAAACAATCTTTGGAAAAATCCCCAAATCTTACTAAATCCCAGAATCCCAAAATCCCAAGAAATCTCTAAAAACTGCATAAAATACTTGGAAAAAGCCCAATAAAATCCTCAAAGTTATTGCAATATTGAGAAATCCCATCAAATTTAAACATTTAAATCATGAATTGGCGTGAAAATGCCCTTTGTTGATTTATTTCGTTTTAAAAATAATTCGACGGATTACTGTGTCGCAAAAAATGTTGGAAAAAGTTCGGCGAAAAAAAATAAGGGAAAATATTTCGAAAAAATCAGCTGAAAAAAATCCCAAAATTCCTTAAATTTGGGAAAAAAATCCCAGAATCCCGAGAAAAATTGCCGGGATTTTCTAATCCCAAAAATCCTCGTACGCTTTTTTCAGAGTAATTTACCCCTCGGTTTAAACTCGATGGATCATTCCGGCTACAGACTAAATTTTGATCTGGGCAAGAAGAACAAAATCCATCACCACAGCTAGAAAGAGCATGTTAAAATTAGTAACATTGCAAAGTTTGGTTGCGAAATGTTGTAAAATGCGCAAGATATACCCCTGCGAAATTTGCAAATTAATTTTGTATTAATTTGTATTACGCACGGGAAAATGCACCACATTTGGGCCGAAATGTTTACAACATTTCGCAACCAAACTTTGCAATTTTACTAATTTCATGATGCTCTTTGTAGCTGTGGTGATGGATTTTGTTCTTCAGTGCCTAGATCAAAATTCAGTCTACAGCTGGAATTGCCTATTCACTACATTTCTCAATTCTATTTTAATATTTGCCACGAAATACAAAACTACTACATAGATTGAAACGAATGAACATTATTTTCTCACTCTGATAACTGCAGGTTGACCACCGTCTGCTGCACGATAGTGCTTAGTGAAATTAGGGATTTTAAAAATGAAAATTAAAGCCCAGCAAATGACTTTCAGACAAGACATAACAAAATATAAAATTTATTGGCTAACGTTTCGTTGTATTGTTCACAACATCTTCAGAGCAATTAAACTTATTTACAAGCGTGTATTATATATATACAAATAGTTTCAAACGGTTACAGTATTCAAATAAGCGAATAAGAGGAAGGATGAAAAACAACCTGTCATTAAAAGCAATAGTATTAGTAAATTAAAGAAATAATGGTTAGGGACGGACCATTAGAAAAGTGATGGGGAGGGTGGGGAAAAAAACAGAAAAAAAATCCATGCAAACAAAAAAGGTTTGAAAAAAAATACATGCAAACAGACTTGTTTAAAAAAAAAATTACAAACAGAACAACAATAGAACTTTAATTTTAAATGTACATCAGACAAAATTGAACTAAATCTTTGGAATATTTCAGAATATAAATATCAAAATATATAATATATTAATATGCAATTTCTTTCAATATTAACAGTAACTCTTATGTAGTTTTATTATATACTATCAAAATATTTTCTATTGTATTTAATAATTAATTCTCATTCACACTGCCACTGTCCTCAGTGGCGTAACTACTATGGGCTCGGACTGGGAGAATCCGGGGGCCACCAACCCCAATGGGCCCGCAAATGGGGGCCCCAGGCTCAGGCTATAGAGCAAAAACATTGGCCAAGGGCCTCTGATATGTTACAATGGCGTTTTCTGACCATCGGAATTCTGTAAAATCTCTCCCCAAAGTCCGGGAAATGGTATTTCAGAGAATTTAGATTCAAAAATTTTCCGGGTGAGCATGCTCTGGATCCCTAGAAAACTTGTCCATATATGGTGCTTAAAGATATAATTTTGCAGTGTGTATTAAAGGGATATTTTTTGTCAAGAAAACAGTTTCGTTGTATTGGAAAAAAAATTGCATGCGAGAAGACATATTTAAAAAAAACATGCATACACAGCTGACAACCTGGAAAAAAAATGCAAACAAAAAAAATTTACCCCCCCCCCCCCATCACTTTTCTAATGGTCCGTCCCTTAGTAATTAGAGACCTAGCAAAGCATTAGAAAAGGTCAAGAGGAGTTGACCTAATGTTAGCATTTAAAGTGGGATTAAGCTTGGATATGAAAAGGCTTTCGCGAATGAGTAAATCTGCTTCAGAACTAGCAGTGGAAAGGATTTTAAAATCAGAGGGTGAAATTTGATGTTTAGTGGTATGGATATGAGGGAGTATGCCTGACATGGTTGAAACAGAACGTTTCTTTCCAGTCAAAGGTGAAACACCCATGTGTTCAGAGATACGCGTGTGTATGTGTCGGCGAGTTTGACCAACATACAATGTACTACAGCATTGACACTTATACAAATACACCACATGTGATTTCAGTTCACCAGGAATTTTGTCCTTAAATGGAAAGAAATTGGAAAGACGGAAAGAAGGACGAAAGACGACACGTAAAGAAATGTGTGGATAGGCAGAAGAAAGAAATTTCTGAAGTTGTGATCGAATTTGCAAACCATGATGACCAGTGAAAGGAAGACAAAAATATATAACCTTTTTCGAGCAAGTATGAACTTTATCACGAGAATTATACATTTTATCAAGAAATGATTTGATACAACTATCCACAAGTGTTGCAGGATAACCATTAAGAGTGAAGGTTTTCTTGAATTTTTCCATTTCCGAATGGAAAAATACATAAGAAGAGCAAATGTTGAAATAACGAGAGATAAGTGAGAAAAGTAAACCTTTTTTGTACAGCATTGGAATAAAACTGTCAAAATTGGTAAACAATCCCGTGGAAGTAGATTTATGATGAACCGTGGTAGCGAAAGAACCGTTAGAACGAATGACTTTGACGTCTAGAAAAGGAAGGCACGAATTACTTTCAAGCTCATGAGTAAATTGAATGTTGGGGTGTTTCGAGTTGAGATAGGAAAGGAAAGGAGTAACATGGTCGCGTGATTTGAAAATAAGAAAACAATCATCAACATACCGACGGTAGAATATAGGCTTAAAAACAGAAGGGCAGTCAGCTAACCAGGATTTTTCATGAAAAGATAGGAATATGTTAGCAAACAATGGGCCTAAGGGTGAACCCATTGCTACACCATCAACCTGCTTGTATAGAACACCGTCAAATAAAAAATAGCAATTTTTCACAGAAAGATTTAAGAGTTCTCTAAATTGATCGCGAGAGATGGCATGATAGTGTGTGGCACTAGCAAAGCATTTATTAATGATTATATCAATAGTTTCATCTAATGGTATGTTAGTAAAGAGAGACTTAACGTCAAAACTGGCCATTATGACATCATTAGTATTAATTTTTAACTCGCGTAATTCCTTAACAAATGTAAAGGTGTCATTAATTGTAAAAGTGTTAGTAGAGAAGGGACGGAGAAGAGAACTCTTAAATCTTTCTAGAGAACTTTCTAGAGAATTTTTTAGAGAACTCTTAAATCTTTCTGTGAAAAATTGCCATTTTTTATTTGACGGTGTTCTATACAAGCAGGTTGATGGTGTAGCAATGGGTTCACCCTTAGGCCCATTGTTTGCTAACATATTCCTATCTTTTCATGAAAAATCCTGGTTAGCTGACTGCCCTTCTGTTTTTAAGCCTATATTCTACCGTCGGTATGTTGATGATTGTTTTCTTATTTTCACATCACGCGACCATGTTACTCCTTTCCTTTCCTATCTCAACTCAAAACACCCCAACATTCAATTTACTCATGAGCTTGAAAGTAATTCGTGCCTTCCTTTTCTAGACGTCAAAGTCATTCGTTCTAACGGTTCTTTCGCTACCACGGTTCATCATAAATCTACTTCCACGGGATTGTTTACCAATTTTGACAGTTTTATTCCAATGCTGTACAAAAAAGGTTTACTTTTCTCACTTATCTCTCGTTATTTCAACATTTGCTCTTCTTATGTATTTTTCCATTCGGAAATGGAAAAATTCAAGAAAACCTTCACTCTTAATGGTTATCCTGCAACACTTGTGGATAGTTGTATCAAATCATTTCTTGATAAAATGTATAATTCTCGTGATAAAGTTCATACTTGCTCGAAAAAGGTTATATATTTTTGTCTTCCTTTCACTGGTCATCATGGTTTGCAAATTCGATCACAACTTCAGAAATTTCTTTCTTCTGCCTATCCACACATTTCTTTACGCGTCGTCTTTCGTCCTTCTTTCCGTCTTTCCAATTTCTTTCCATTTAAGGACAAAATTCCCGGTGAACTGAGATCACATGTGGTGTATTTGTATAAGTGTCAATGCTGTAGTGCATTGTATGTTGGTCAAACTCGCCGACACATACACACGCGTATCTCTGAACACATGGGTGTTTCACCTTTGACTGGAAAGAAACGTTCTGTTTCAACCATGTCAGGCATACTCGCTCATATCCATACCACTAAACATCAAATTTCACCCTCTGATTTTAAAATCCTTTCCACTGCTAGTTCTGAAGCAGATTTACTCATTCGCGAAAGCCTTTTCATATCCAAGCTTAATCCCACTTTAAATGCTAACATTAGGTCAACTCCTCTTGACCTTTTCTAATGCTTTGCTAGGTCTCTAATTACTAACCATTATTTCTTTAATTTACTAATACTATTGCTTTTAATGACAGGTTGTTTTTCATCTTTCCTCTTATTCGCTTATTTGAATACTGTAACCGTTTGAAACTATTTGTATATATATAATACACGCTTGTAAATAAGTTTAATTGCTCTGAAGATGTTGTGAACAATACAACGAAACGTTAGCCAATAAATTTTATATTTTGTTATGTCTTGTCTGAAAGTCATTTGCTGGGCTTTAATTTTCATTTTTAAATTACGCTTTTCACCCGGTGTATCAATCGCTACTGTTTTAAAATTAAGGAGTGTTCATTATTTATACTCGGGGTTGGTACCGAAGAGAAACCAATCGAAAAGAGAAAAAACAACCACCCACCCTTTCGATCAACCATTTTTCTCCCTACCCAACTATTGCATGACTTGGATTTTTATTTTACCCAACCCAATTTCAAAATTATACAAGTATTTTACATATATACATATATATATTATTATACAAGCTAGGCCACTATAGTATAAACAGTACTGTGCATATTTGAATGTCAAATATAATCATTAACTGAATGTCAAATATAATCATTTGTACCTTCACAAGTTCATATTATGTTCACACGCCTACAAGTTCCTGCAGTCCTACCATATCTCGTTGTTGTAATCAGAGGGGATGGGGAGTTGGAGTTTAGTTTTCTTTGTGGGGAATGAATGGATATTTCCTGGAATGACCCATTTTGTTAAATAAAGGATTTTCATATTTTGTTCAATTGAAGGTTTGTATTGAAAATAATTTACCCAACCATAGGCTTTGTTCAAAAAATATTTACCCAACCCATTTCTCTTCGGTATCAACCCCGGGTATAATTAATGAACACTCCCTTATGGGTGAAGCACACTTATACAGGCAGCGCAATTGAATAATTTTATCTTTACTTTTTCTCAGGGATTTGGGGCTGGCAACTTCAAAAGTCTTTTTGAGGCAATTGAGAAGGAACAGGGTGACCGCGGGAACTTATAACGAGGTGATAGCCAGGGCAGAACGAAAATAAGTTAAAATATTTATCTAGCGAAACTGCCGGAATTTTAATATACCATTAAAAGGTCACGTATTATTTAAGCTTTGGAGATGATAGTATGCTTGGTAGGTTAAGAAATTAACTTTAAAATTATGCGCGAATTAAATCGAAACCTTGACATTCCCCCGGGGCATACTTGGGGAATTTGCTTGTTTACTATTTTAAGCAGGCGGGAATTTGACCTTTTTTTCTAGTGGAAGGTGGGGAATTTGTTAAGGGGGTCTGGAATTTGAATTTTTCTGTTATAACATGTGTGCCTACGAGGCTGCACGTGTATTTAACTTTGTCCTTGGTTGGCTACAAGAAAATGGCTTTGAACGATTGAAGAGAGTTTTTGAAGGAAAGAAAAGCTTTGTAATTCCAAAATTCCGAAATGCTGTAGCTTCCAATTCGTACATGGGGTGGGGTATTTGAACTCCAATTTCTCCCAATACGTGGTGTATTTGAACGGGAATTACAAATATATGTAGGGAATTTGACCTAACCAAAACGTCAAAAGCCAAATTCCGGGGGGGATGTCAAGGTTTCGATTTGATTCGCGCATTAATGGGATCATTTGAAATATTAATAAAATAAAATTTATGTCCAATATAAGCAATACTTTTGAGTTGGTTCGCTTGCAAACTATATTAAGCACGAAGTAACATTGTAAGCCCCGTACAAACGGACAATTTTTCCTTGACAAATTTTATTGCCTCGTGTGTATTGGGAACAATTGACAATTTCTCCTTCACTCCTTGTGAAGGGACCTTGTTCCAAAATCCAAAGCTATTCATGCCAGCTTCTGGGCAAGGAAAATTTGTTCATGTGTACCGCGGGTCGTCACGGGAAACGTCTTAAATTTCTATACGTAATGTCTCGTTACGTGCTTGCCGGTGTCCCAGGAAATTCCCCCCCCCCAAACTTTGGCCCCCCCGGGCCAATTTTCCTAGGGAATTTCCCCCCCCCCCCTTCGGAAATTTGGCCCCCTCGAAAACATAGTTTACTTTATTGCTATATAAGCTCGGAAATCGTGAAGCTTCTTCTAAAACCAAGATCCTAAAAGTGTTTGTCAGTATTTATAGTTAGTTTGCATAATTTATTTGTGTCGAAATTCTTCATTGCGGCCAAGAGCTAAAAGTTTGAAGGAAAGCGTAATAATAATAATGTGTTAGTGCAGTAATGCCAGACACATCACGTATCTGTTGAGGACAACGTTAATGCATAATGCCTTAGCTTTAAGCTAAGGACACGAAACAATTTTTAGAGATAGGAATTTCTAAGATATTACAAGACTCAGTTATTTAGATCTATAAAATTCAGTCACATAGTATAAAACTAGTCAGAATAACAACCGCACTGAAACGATGACATCATGCGTTGGCGAATATGTTAATATGCACGCGTTTAATAAATAACAGGGAGTAATTTGCATTAGGGTAAAAGTAGACTTTTAAGTGGAAACGTTTGTTTGACAAACAAAATCAAATGAGTGGTTATTTCGTAAAAAAACCTTTTCCTATGCAATTTATTTACATATACACAGTATATATAATCGCTCATGATCATATGGTTTGGATGCATTACAGAAGCATTCCGTAAAAACGGAAGTAGACTGTATGCTTGATGGCTCACAAAAACATTCCGCACACAGAAAAGCACAAAGGTTTGAATATCTAACAAAATATTCCGCAAACACAAAAGCACAAAGGTTTGGATGACTCACAAAAACATTCCGCAAACACGCAAAAAAACAAAGGTTACATCCAGCTACATAAAACCCGTCAGTGTTGTAAGCAATTCTCTGGACCTAATTCTCGTCAGTATTGGAATTCAGTGCAGAATTTTGTTTTGACACAAAAAAAATTACGCAAAGTAACTATAAATGCGGAGAAAAATTTATAGAAATTTGGTTTTAGTAGAAGCTTCACGATTTCCGAGCTAAAAGATAAAGTAAACTATAATTTTTTAGAGGGGGCCAAATTTCCGAAGAGGGGGCCATATTTCCTAGGAAATATGGCTTTCCTAGGAAATTTGGCCCGTGGGAATTTTCGGGGGGGGGGCCAAATTTCCTGTGACACCGGTAACATACCGCGCGATACACAGATACCGCGATATAACGAGATATCCGCATCAATGCTAGCCTGAGCGTACGGAATTACGCTTGTAACACAGTCTCTAGCCTGCGTAGCAGTCGCTTTATTTTTTAAATTTTATTTGAGGATATTTAGTATTTGAGGATATTTTAATGCGAAAAAAAGAGCGGAGAAAAACCCTTCGCCGTTTTTTTTCTGCTTTTTTTCGCATTCATTTCTTAAAATATCCTCAAATAAAATTTAAAAAATAAAGCGACTGCTACGCAGGCTACACAGTCTCCGACTCTGTGCTTAGGCTTGCCACACACCTATTGAGAGGATTCCCTGCTCCTTTTAAAGGTCGATAGAGGTCACGCGTCACAATCCCGCGTATTGAATTTCTTTCGCATTCTTGATGAAAATCTGCGCTACTTGAAATTGCTTAAAATTTCTAAGAGCCTTAGGACGAGAAGTCGTACTCAAGAAAATCATTTGCGCTCAGTTGGGTTAAAGACATAAGAATTGTATATTCGCAGGTTAGTTCGTAGTGTAACATATTTAACTAGATGATATACGATTTAAATTTCTCATTTGTGTCTCATGAAGGCGTGTGCAAACTAGATTATCTTTCAAGATAGAACAGCAAGGAATACGAGTTAGTTTATGCAAAAATAAGTGCGGGCGTTGTATTTAGTTTTTCTCTTGTGTAAATTTGTGTGAAAAGCCTAAAATCGCAACAGTTTTTGTCATTTTCTGAGGAAATGAAACTTCATACTTTAGCTGTAATCACGCGCAAAATGTGATGATTATTCTCAAGTCCTCTTGGCATGTCCGAACCTGACGTCAACTTGCTCAAGGTTAATTGAATCGTTTTTTACAGCGCTAACTGTGCGCTTTTCCAAAGTGGTAATGCGCAAAACGGGTTAGACTGTCTTAGAAGAATTTCAAGTTTGTTGTGATTGCGATATTACTTTGAATGCGTATTATTAAGAAAGACGGAAACAATACCTTGGGGGGTTTAAAATGTGCACGTCAAGGTCACAATAACACACCACTTGGTGAAAATATCGTTTTCAAGTGCTGCGCGTTTTTTGCGGATCATTTTTTTATGTTCTGGAAAACAGAAAGGCTTTCATAATTTATTGAAAACGTGTTCATTGTTTTATATATCTGTTTTTAAAACAGGAGTTTTATATAGTAGTTTAAGACTTGCAATAAGGCTGATGTGTTCCAGTATAAATCCAGTTTCGATACATCACTACAATCAGTAAAGACTGATTTACATACAGCGCACAAAAGACAGGATAATTTCACATTGTTGAGAATGTCTTGCTTATAACAGCCACGAGCAAATGGGAAACTTAATAAAAATCTGCTGATGGGATAGGGATACAACTACCTGAAAAATACAAGGAGAACTTCGACGTTTCAAAATTCAAAGGCCTTCCGTGGGGAGTAATTATTAGAGAGTTTGGCAACCTAGAACGGCAACGGGGAAAATATAATTGCTTATATTGTTGTATTTGAGCCAAAGTATACGTCACTACACTTAATTTGCCTCTTTAATAAGTATTCCTGTTTCTTTCAAACAGCCCTTAATAAGTAAAAATAGTCAGCGAATTCAAATAAAACACCTCAAATAACATCGAACGAATTAACTGTTGCCGTAGTCGTGCACCGTGAAAATGATGCAAATCACGTACTAGTTTCAACAACTACGGCATTGCACAACGCTTAAGACCATGTAATTTACATTCGCCTTTGTCTTTGAGGATTAATGCTATTGTTGATGACCATATTGCCGTTGCCCTTGTATTTGCCAAACTCTCTAATTAAGGCCGACGAGGGCCTCGAAACGTCGAAGTTCTGGGTTATTTTCACTGCCTACACCGACATAGGCTGTTCAAGAAACTTATTAAAGGTTATTTCCAAGGGTAATCTAGAGTCTATTACTACGTAGGCCAAGGGTAATTCCTCTTTGACATTTCGGCATGTTGATGACAGAAGGTTTTGGCAGTGAAAACAGAAGCTCCAACCTTGAACTTCTATAGTTGGAAATTGTTGCCCTGACAATGTTGCAACTGCATGTTTCACTTTGGCCATTAGGATTGGATTCACATGATTGACGAGTTCATGACGCGATATTGATCAGGAGAAAGGTTGATACTGTAATGTCGCGCACAGCACGACTGCAGAGTCACCTGGGGGAAATCAAAATATAGTGCGGCGTAAATGCGTAATGTTCCAATTATTAATACAGGGAGTGTCCCTATATGTCGTGTGTCGTGTGTCGTGGGTTAAAAGTCGTGTGTCGTGGGTAAAGTCGTGGGTAAAGTCGTGGGTCATAAAATGTGCTAAAAACGCATTTTTTCACGAAGATATTATTTTTATTTTTAATATTTTTTTCGTACTTCATCTCTCCAGTAATAAAATAATTTCTTAAAAATCTCCAGCAATAAAATAATTTCTTATCTTGCTGTTATCTATAGTATAACCTGCTATAACAAGTAAATGTTTGATTATGTTTCCGTTTCGTATAGTCTGATAAGCCTATAGAGTATAAATGTATTGTTTGATGTATAAATGTATTGTTTAAGTTATAGGATATAGGTTTATTAGCTTTGGAAGTGTTATAGTCCCTATCAATTCATGAACGTCGCGAATAATTATGTCGATTCATGCCGATATGCAGTAGCGTAGCCAGCCCGACGATTTAGTCCCGCTATGCAAATATTTTCGTGTTCATTGACTGTAAAAACAATCCATTTCTAAAGAAATGAATAATGATAATAATTTCGAATTTGCATAGCGGGACTAAATTGTCGGGCTGGCTACGCCACTGCCGATATGTCTGATACAAACATATGAGGCTATACTGAATTTTACGCTGCAGTGTCTAGTATAATTAGTGGCCAACGCTCGAGCCTCAAATTTTGCTATTTTATCTCCTAGACCTAGTATATGTTCGTGGCCCTTAAATTAAAGGTATAGACCGAAACATTTCATGTGTATGTGGCGTTCGGAAATATTCCATAAATTGCTACGATTTGGGATTTCCCGATTGAAACCCGAAATGATTTGTCGGCGATGTCGGGCTAATTGCCAACCGAGCGCGCTAGCCGCTGTTATTTTGACAGAATATGATGATACCTTTACACTTTTCAGCCGTAATTTTCAGCGCGCACTGTAATCATATACATATCGTTTAATTTAGCTTCAAAAACATGTTATTCGTGTTCGTTCCCGCGGACCGCAATGGTGTCATAGTCAGTTGCCAAAGGCAGAGCACATGCAAAGCCGCCTTGGTATAAATCATGTATGTAACGGGAAATCTTGCTTATTTCAGTCGAATAAAGTCAACCTTTTTTTTTTTGATAATGTACGCAACATGCTGCGCATTTTACATTTAACAAAACAAGTTTTTGAAGCTAAATTAAACAGGGGCGGATCTAGGGGTCGTCAAGTCAGTCGCGCGACTGAAGTAAAAATTGCCTACTTAATTAAAAAAAATCGACTCCAGCTATCTATAGCGGCCAGTAGATCGAGTTATTAAAATTTTGAATCGTAGTCCAGTTATACGTTTCATGCTGCGGCAGAGCTTCGGCAAAGTAATGTTAGTCAGTCACGAACAGCGGTCTTACGCATGAATGTTGACGGATTCGGGGGTTGAATCCGGCTATCTCATTGGCTGACGCGTTCATTTCCATGGTTACAGCCATTTGCGACGAATCTGTGGGGAGGCCTGACGGATTTGCAGATTCAGGGGCTCTGTATGAGTCTTCTGATTGAACCATTTAAAAATATTCTGCGCTGTCATTGGCTTATATTTTCGACGGATTCGCAGCGTGGGGTATTCGTCAACGCGGCATTTGGTGTTTTATACCTCCTGAATGTTTACTATTTCGAACGTCTGGCATGTGAGGAATTTTACTATTATATTTTTACGAGCGATCTCTGCCAGCGATATCTGGAAACAATTTCGACAATATTCAGTTTGCGATTGCGGCAAACGATTTAGAATCTCTACAACGTTTGTATACCGAGCTTGAGAAAAATATCGATGCTTCACGGACAAATTCTGTTGACGAGCTACTGAACGGCAAAGTGAGCGCCATCAACAACACAAGCAGAAGCCTCGCTAGAAATTTTGGCGCAGAGAGCTACATTCCGAAGTATGTTCGAGATAAGAAAGACAAAGCTTGCACTGCAATAAGCTAGAGAAATTTATGGTTTTATAATGATGTATCTTTAGTAAATATTAATTAAACCGAAGAACCAAAGCCGTCGGTGTTGTTAATGATTGTTTGACATATGATATTTTAATATTCGCTATGCTGTATTAGCATAATTCTCGCGTCAAGAAGCTAAAATATGTTTTATTCAATGTCCACATTGTAAGCATTTGTTGATTCTCGTGTTTATAGTGAAGTTTTATTTAAGATTTATATATATTTATGCATCGATCACACAACATGTCGGCCTTATAGAATACTGTTTGTCCATAGCCTATCGACACGGCTTGTTAGACCGCATTGGTCTGGTGTAACATGATGATGTGAAATATTTAATAAGCTAGCTTGAAAAGCTCATTGACTGGTAGCCATTCTCATGTAACTAGTTTATTAATATTTGACATAACATCTTTATATCTTGTTAATGTAATAGTGTTTGACTTAGTTAATGAATATCTGGTTGTTTTTTTTAGCTGAGGCTACTAGCAATTATTTGTATAGTTCTGCGTTTTTGGTAACAGAACAGTATATTTCCTTAATTTAATGCATTTGCTGCCATATGATTTTACAAGTTTTACAATGATACACTTATAGGTATATAGTATCAATATGACGACGATTGATTAATCCACAGGCAAACATGTTATTAAATTGCTGCTGAGTTTTAATGTACTATATCATAGTAATATATCCATAAAATTTTGTATCGGAATAGGATCAATATATCTTTGTGCATTTGTAGTTTTTCTTACAATGTTTTTCTTATCAATTTAAATTTAATCTAAATACGTTTTTCACGCCCAGTCGAGACTACGCCCAGCGCTGACGACGCCCCGCGCTGACAACGCCCCGTCCGCCAAAAATTTTTGACTGAGGTACGAAAAATCCTAGATCCGCCCCTGAAATTAAACGATATGAATAATTCATCAATATGTGATTACAATCCGCGCATTTGTATTACGGCTGAAAAGTGTAGAGGTATCATATTCTGTCAAAATAACAGCGGCTCTGAGCGCGCTCGGTTGGCAAATAGCCCGACATCGCACAAATTTCGGGTTTCAATCGGGAAATCCCAAATCGTAGCAATTTATGGAATATTTCCGAACGCCACATACTCTTACTCTTTCAATTTATGGAATATTTCCGAACGCCACATATCCTAAGAACAGCATTCAAACATGAAATTGTTTGTCTATACTTTTAAGGGCCACGAACATATACTAGTTCTAGGAGATAAAATAGCAAAATTTGAGGCTCGAGCGTTGGCCACTTATACAGCGTAGAATTTATAGCTCAATATGTTTGCATCAGACAGTATGCAATCGACGTAGTTATTCGCGACGTTCATGATAGGGACTACTGAACACTTCCAAAGCTAATAAACCTATATCTTAATATCCTATAACTTAGGACATTTTATCATCAAACAATACATTTATAGACTTATTAGACTATACAAAATGGAAACGTTTACTTGTTATACTATAGATAACAGCAAGATAAGAAATTATTTTATTACTGGAGATTTGTTGCGTTAAATTTTCCTGTATTTATCTAGCGCATAAAAGGAAAAAGTACGAAAAAATATTAAAATTAAAAATATGAAAAAATGCGTTTTTAGCACATTTTATGACCCACGACTTTACCCACGACTTTACCCACGACTTTACCCACGACTTTACCCACGACTTTACCCACGACACACGACTTTTAACCCACGACACACGACACACGACATATAGGGACACTCAATTTGTGCAGTTCGCCGGATGCAATTATGTCTAATCCCAATAAAATTAATAGGCAAAGCTGTCATCAATCTGGTTCTGTTCGCAGTGGGTATATGAAAATTAGCATGTGGCGTTTAGTTCAATATTTAGAAATAAGTTACTAGTCTTGTGAAATCCCGTGAAATGCAATACAATTGCTTACATTTGCTTACAGAAGCCTGTACACGTGAGGGTATTCAGCTATATCCCATATATGTTTTATTTGGTTAGATTCTAAATGAAAATAGCCATGACATGCTGAGTTGCAACTCGCGCAGAAAGGCTTAATGAGTTATGAATATCTGCATATGTACCAATGCCATGCATAGAACTCGTACGTGGCATACCGGAATGTGTTTTCATTATAAAAATTTAGGTTCAACTGATTAAGCAAAGATGACTACATCTTCTTAACCTGTCAGCAACGATGATTGCATCTTTCTGAACACAAGAGTTTCCGCTAAATTGGTCTTTATAATATAAACACAAATTTGCGCTAGCTTTGGCGTTTGCATACTGCTTTTAAAACAAAAAGATTTCGTGTACTGCATGTTTGCGGTCTCTTGATTTAGCTATACATTCTATTTGGCTGTCCAGTTCTAGTCAGTAAATTCGCGCAGAAATAAGACTTGTCGAATTATAACTATGATAATACAGGATATAATAGCTACCGTATGTATAGCTGCAACCGCAATTTCATATAGCCTACATGCAACATTTGATTCATGCATAATATATATAGGATGAGTTATTATATTATAAAGAATTAGGTTCAACTGATTAAGCAAAGATGACTACATCTTCTTAACCTGTCAGCAAAAGATGACTGCATCTTTCTGAACACAAGAGTTTCCACTAAATTGGTCTTTATAATATAAACACAAATTTGCGCTAGCTTTCATTGATGTTTGCAAACTGATTTTAAAACAAAAAGACTTCGTGTACTGTTTGCGTTCTCTTGATATAGCTATACATTCTATTTGGCTGCATGGCCAGTTCTAGTCAGTGCAATTCGCGCAGAAATAAGGCTTGTTGGATTATAACTATGATAATACAGACCTAAAAATATATAGCTACCGTATGTAGCTGCAACTGCAATATCATATACACTGATTCATGCATAATAGGATGTGTTATTATATTATAAAAATTTAGGTTCAACTGATTAAGCAAAGATGACTACATCTTCTTAACCTGTCAGCAAAAGATGACTGCATCTTTCTGAACACAAGAGTTTCCGCTAAATTGGTCTTTATAATATAAACACAAATTTGCGCTAGCTTTGGCGTTTGCAAACTGATTTTAAAACAAAAAGATTTCATGTACTCTTTGCGGTCTCTTGATATCTATATAGCTACATGTATACATTCTATTTGGCTGGCCAGTTCTAGTCAGTAAATTCGCGCAGAAATAAGACTTGTTGAATTATAACTATAATATACAGGATATAATAGCTACCGTATGTATAGCTGCAACCGCAATTTCATATAGCCTACATGCAACATTTGATTCATGCATAATATATATAGGATGTGTTATTATCATTATAAAGAATTAGGTTCAACTGATTAAGCAAAGATGACTACATCTTCTTAACCTGTCAGCAAAAGATGACTGCATCTTTCTGATCACAAGAGTCTCCGCTAAATTGGTCTTTATAATATAAACACAAATTTGCGCTAGCTTTGGCGTTTGCAAACTGATTTTTAAACAAAAAGATTTCATGTACTCTTTGCGGTCTCTTGATATAGCTACATGTATACATTCTATTTGGCTGGCCAGTTCTAGTCAGTAAATTCGCGCAGAAATAAGACTTGTTGAATTATAACTATGATATACTGCAGGATATAATAGCTACCGTATGTATAGCTGCAACCGCAATTTCATATAGCCTACATGCAACATTTGATTCATGCATAATATAGGATGTGTTATTATATTATAAAGAATTAGGTTCAACTGATTAAGCAAAGATGACCACATCTTCTTAACCTGTCAGCAAAAGATGACTGCATCTTTCTGAACACAAGAGTCTCCGCTAAATTGGTCTTTATAATATAAACACAAATTTGCGCTAGCTTTGGCGTTCATTTGCAAACTGATTTTAAAACAAAAAGATTTCGTGTACTGCATGTTTGCGGTCTCTTGATTTAGCTATACATTCTATTTGGCTGGCCAGTTCTAGTCAGTAAATTCGCGCAGAAATAAGACTTGTTGAATTATAACTATGATTATACAGGATATAATAGCCACCGTATGTATAGCTGCAACCGCAATTTCATATAGCCTACATGCAATGATTCATGCATAATAGGATGTGTTATTATATTATAAAGAATTAGGTTCAACTGATTAAGCAAAGATGACTACATCTTCTTAACTTGTCAGCAAAAGATGACTGCATCTTTCTGAACACAAGAGTCTCCGCTAAATTGGTCTTTATAATATAAACACAAATTTGCGCTAGCTTTGGCGTTTGCAAACTGATTTTAAAACAAAAAGATTTCGTGTACTGTTTGCGGTCTCCTGATATACATGTAGCTATACATTCTACTCATTTGGCTGCATGGCCAGTTCTAGTCAGTGCAATTCGCGCAGAAATAAGGCTTGTTGAATTATAACTATGATAATACAGACCTAAAAATATATAGCTACCGTATGTAACTGCAACCGCAATATCATATACAATGATTCATGCATAATAGGATGTGTTATTATATTATAAAAATTTAGGTTCAACTGATTAAGCAAAGATGACTGCATCTTCTTAACCTGTCAGCAAAAGATGATTGCATCTTTCTGAACACGAGAGTCTCCGCTAAATTGGTCTTTATAATATAAACACAAATTTGCGCTAGCTTTAGCGTTTGCATGCACAGTGATTTAAAAACAAAAATATTTCGTGTACTGTTTGCGATCTGTTGATTACATTCTATTTCACTGTTTGGCTGGCCAGTTCTAGTCAGTAAATTCGCGCAGAAATAAGGTTTGTTTAATTATAACTATGATAATACAGACCTGCTGTATAAAGCGCTGTATACGTAACCCCAATATCATATACAATGGTTCATGCATAAAATACGATGTGACTTCATTATAAAAATTTAGGACAACAGCAGCCGACTTTGCTCTGATAGGACTGATTCGAATGCCTTACTTGCCCCAAGCGTCGAGAACATAACTCTGTCGTGCCAGTGATAACATCTTTAGTCACCCCGGCAAAGAAACGGCGATGCGATACTTGGCGACCATCGTCGTCTCGCAAGTTTTCAAGTTTGACCCGTTTAATTTCTGATGGAAAACACTTGAATGTTTTACTAACAAGCAACTTATTGTATCAATTTGTATGTATACCAATTTTTCTTATCATCTACGTTGTGCGCAAACACTCGCTTGAACGTCGTCGATGCGCCTCGAATGCTGTCTTGGCGTGTATTATATTCGAATTTGGCGCGCGATTTTTGTTTTTATATGACGACCACAATTTGCAATGTGTAATATGAAGTCGAGATATTAAATTAACTAATTCAGTACTAGTTAATATTAAATGAAGTTTGGTTTCAAAGATACTATTACAAATAAGTAGGAAGGTTGGATAATTAATATATGTCATCAGTTCATCAACTTTGACACAAAACTATGGTTACCAACACCAGAAACGCTAATCCTTTCACACATCGTGCGGATTCTCATGGTACTGAAGCACAACCCAGAATTCCACGAAGGACATAAGATGGGAATGTTCTCTCGACCACTAGCTTCAGCTTGGATAGGCGTGCGTCGAGCAAACGGGGGGCAGACGACGGAGGAAGTGGGCGTAGCAACGGTAACAGTCCGAGACTGGGGCGACGCGATGTGGAAATTGAACAACGCCGTGTTTAACGCCGACCAGTCGTGCAGGTTGCGAGCAGCAGGATTACGGCCGAAAGCGTGATCATGATTGCGTCACCCGAGTCCAGGAAACATCAGAGCCGTGCGCATGATCAGCAACCGTAACGAAGAAGGTCAGCAATACGATGCGGATGGTAGGTTGTCAGCACCAACTTACACACGGTGAACGCTTCGATCCAGAAAGTAATAGAGATGGTCCCTTTCCGTTTCCTTGCCGTCCAATGACGAGAAAGCAGGAGTATTATTATCGCTGGGGTCACTCACTAAACTGTCGAGGTCCATAAACTGAGCTGAAACGATAAGGGAAACTACGTTCAACGACACAGGAAGGAGCGCAGGCTCGTTCCCAGGCTTGCCCGATTTTAGGGACCGCCTGCCATGCAGGCAAGATTCAATGGGACCGAAACGCCGGGATTAGAATTCCGAAGCTGAAGTTGCGAAATCCAAGATGGCGGATCTCGTGTTTGCCTATGTGATCGAGCAAAACCTTCATACTTGGGTTGACACCAACGGGAAAAACAGGATCCCTGGCAGGAACAGTCGATGGAAAGGCGAAGCTTTGTTGTGGGAAGTAAACGAATCGGCCGTATCGCACAACAATCCATATTTGACGGGCTTGCTAATATTGCCGAACCAGGTGTGGACGAAGGCAACATCGCAGCAGTTGACGCCACGGTTGAAGACGACATCTGTATCACAGGAGGCTCTGACCCTGAGGTAACGGTAGGAGGTAAAACTCATAGCTAAAGTTGCGTGTTAAAAATGTAGAGAACCGAGCTCGCAAAACGTTGAAAGCAACTGAAAGGCTGGCTTCTAGTTCACTAGCTATTAAATACGCTGGGTTACCGGAGATCTGCCCCAGACAAATCGCCGACACAACAATCGATCAACGGAGCGAATCAGCCCATACTGTTAACTTGCCTTTATGTTATAAAACCCATTAAACAGGGGGCTTGAGTGTGCATCAAATTTGGAAAAGGTCATTAAACGTATTGCCTTTTTTTGCAATATTTGCAGTGGCTTAAGCGTAGTTGGATAAGTATTACCCCAAGCAAGTACACCATAAATTAGGAAGGGATGTACTAATGCGTAATAGATATTGAGAAGAATACTTTTATTGACATAATATCGAAGTTTAGAGATAGTCCCTATAGTTCGTTTAATCTTTTTTACAATATAGTCAACTTGATTTTTCCAATTTAAATGTGAATCAATAAGGACACCAAGATATTTAATGCAGAAATGTCTTTTTAATTCCTTATCATTAATATTTAGTTTTATATCATTATTTATTTTCTTTTGAGGAGGATGAAATATCACAAAGTTTGATTTATCAACATTTAGAGACAGCTTATTAGCACACAACCAAACATGAATATTATGTAATTTCCTATTTAGATTTGTTTGAAGTTCTACAAGATTCTTATGTTTGTAAAATAAGTTAGAATCATCTGCAAAAAGGTGGAAATCCAAGATTTCCGAGCACCTATTAAAATCATTTATATACATCAGAAATAAAAGAGGACCAAGAACTGACCCCTGAGGAATACCACACGTTACTGTATTATAATCAGATAAAATATTGTCTAAGGAAACGTACTGTTGTCTATTCGTAAGGTACGAAGCAAACCATTCACTTGCAATTCCACGAATTCCAAACTTATCCAATTTTTTAATTAAAATACTATGATCAACTGTATCAAAGGCTTTACTAAAGTCGAGGAATATTCCACAGGAGTAACTTCGCTCCTCTATTGATAACTGTATTTTATCAATGATACTTAAAATTGCATGATTAGTAGAATGATTGGCGCGAAAACCAAATTGTTTTTCATACAGCATATTTCTCTTATCAAGAAAGTCAATTAACCTATTATACATAAGTTTTTCCAGCAATTTATTAAATATAGAAAGAAGTGAGATTGGTCGATAATTGTTTAGACAACTCTGAGATCCACCCTTATGAACTAGAACTATTGTAATGAATTGTTAATAATTGACATTTATGATAGACGGGTGTAAAGTGGGTGGAGTTTTCTATGTAACAAAATGTATTCATATATTTTTCAAGTAAACAAGTTGTGTCCTTCAAACCAGCGCGTATTTGTGATTTAAGAGAGAGATTTATAGACATTACAATCGGCCGACATGGATGTCGGAAAATCAAGAAAAATTTGAGAAGGACACAGACAAGCAACGAGAAAACTAATTCATACAGCAAACGAAGCTATCAACGCGGTGTCTGAGGCGGAAACGCTCAGTCGCGAGGACAAAGTGAAACTACGATTAAACAAGAATCTTTTGACGGAACAAGATAAAAATTTGGAAGAGTTTAATTCTAAAATATTAGCTGGGATAAAGAAAGTCGAAGATATCGAAGACGAAGCGCTCGAGGCCCTCGAATTTAAGCAGGAAATACAGCGTGTTTTAGTACAAATCGAATTGTTGTTAGAAGGCGACAAAATAGCTAGACAGTCTAGACAAGAATCGCAAAATGTAGCATCGCCATCGCTCAGTGAAATTAGTACCAGTATGAAAAAGATGAATTGCAAGCTGCCAAAATTATCTTTACAAACATTCGACGGCGATCCAGCGAATTGGAGTTCGTTTTGGGATACGTTTGAATCGGCGGTTGACAAGAACTCATAGCTCTCAGAAATCGACAAATTTAACTATCTCAAAAGACAACTTAGGGAATACGCTGCAACAACAGTAGCAGGTTTTTCATTGACGGCGGAGAACTACGAGGAAGCGATTAAACTGTTGAAAGAGCGATACGCGAATCCTCAAACTATCATTTCGAGTCATATGGAGAAACTTCTGAAGTTAAATACAGTACACGATGCGAACGATGTATTGAAATTACGGGCGTTATACGATCAGATTGAAACAAACATTCGCAGTTTAAATGTGCTAGGCATAAAACCAGAGCAATTTGGATCACTTTTAGTTCCAGTAATCTTAGCAAAAATACCCAGCGAGCTACAAATCATAATAAGTCGAAAATTTGACAAAAATACTTGGGACTTTAATCTGCTTTTAGAAACATTTAAAGAAAAGTTACAAGCATGAGAACGATGCACGGCAGTTTCACTTAATGCAAGTAGCAGTTTAGCGAATAAAGGTCATAATCGAAGTAACTTTAGCTATATGAAACCAAAGGGTGCATTTTCAGCGTCTAGTCTAATGACCGTGCATAAACAATCAATTCCGTGCGCGTATTGTAGACAGAGCCACGCTCATGCAAATTGTCAAGTTGTCACAGACATTAACGCGCGAAACAAATTCTACAAAATAGTGGCCTATGCTTTAATTGTTTGCGAAAAAACCACATTGTAAGAGAGTGTAAATCCCCGGGACGGTGTAGTAAGTGTCGAGGTAAACACCATACAAGCAGTTGTGAAATCCATAATCGTAATAGTTTTATGATGCAAGAAAACGTAGTACGAGACACAAGAACCCAAAACATGCAACACACACAGTTTCCTGCTACCCCACACCCACAGATTCCTACTACCCCACACCCCCAGATTCCTACTACGCCACACCCACAGATTCCTATAACCCAACGACAACAACAGCAATCCCATCAAGAAATACCTCGAGCGGAAGTTTCTGAAGCCTCAGTGGCTAACCCAACTACGAACTTGTACACAACAGCTAAAACCAGTATATTATTACAAACAGCTCGCGCGATTATATCAAACCCGAATGTTGGAGAACGTTCTAAGAACATTCGCTTAATTTTAGATTTGGGGAGCCAAAAATGCTACATCACGGAGAGCTTGCGTCAAAAGCTTGACCTTACGGCAGTTAATAGGGAAACATTGGTTGTAAAGACGTTCGGTAAAACAACAGAGACGGCGCGGACTTGTGATGTTGTTCAGACAGGTGTGCGAGCTATGAATAGTGATCTTAATCTATATGTCAGTTGTTATGTAGTTCCAGTGAAATGTTCACCCCTTATCTATCAACCAGTCCAGTTTGCCTCAAGTCACTACTCCCATTTAAGAAATCTCTACCTTGCAGATTCAGGAAGCAATGGCCAAGAGCCTTCTGATATTGATATGTTGATAGGAGCAGATTTCTTTTGGCATATTATCTCGGGCAACGTCATACGGGGGGGAGCACGGCCATAGGGCACGGCGATAGGCGATGGAAACGAAGTTAAGATACGTCCTTTCTGGCCCTGTAACAACTCCTCACACAAGCGATGACACTGTCACCAACTTTCTCACCACCCACCTTCTACGAGTTGACACAACCGAGCCTGAGGATTCATTGAATGTGGACTTTCACAGTCAGTTGAAGAAATTCTGGGAATTAGAAGCGATCGGTGTTAACCCTAACAAGAACCCCGTACATGAACAGTTTAAGGAGACAATCGAGTTCAAGGACGGTCGCTATGAAGTATGTTTACCGTGGCGAGAAAGTCATCCCGTCTTACCCGACAATTTTGAATTGAGTGAACGATGCCTTGCATCCCAAGTGAAACGGTTGAGAAAGGACCCCGAGCGACTCCAAGAGTACGACGAGCTAATCAAGAAACAGATCGAGACAGGAATAGTTGAAAAGGTTCCCGAAAGTGCCAGTTGTTGCACGCCTGGAAAGGTACATTACTTGCCCCATCATCCCGTGATTCGCAGAGACAAGCAAACGACCAAGGTCCGTGTAGTGTACAACGCCAGTGCGAAAACCACCAAAACATCTCTAAACTCATGTTTGAATGCGGGACCTTCTCTTTTACCAAAGATAGTCGATGTTTTGATTCGTTTTCGTTTCCACAAGATTGGGTTGATAGCGGATGTAGAAAAAGCGTTCCATCAAATTTCCATATCCACGGAGGACAGAGATGCCTTGCGCTTTCTCTGGATAGATAACATTGCTAGTGAAAATCCTCGAGTATTAACTTATCGATTTGCAAGAGTAGTCTTCGGTGTGACTAGCAGCCCGTTTCTGTTAAATGCCACCATAGCTCATCACATCAATAGTTACGTGAATGATCCTGACTTCATCACCGCCTTCCTGTCTTCCTTGTACGTGGACGATTTTAGTGGTGGAACCGGTACAATACCGACAGCGTACGAGTTATATCTGAAGAGTCGAGAGCGCATGTCAGAAGGGGGATTTAGTCTCCGGAAGTGGGCAACCAACAATCCAACTTTGCGAGAGGAGATCGCAAGCCACGAGGTCGATAACTCTGTAACTGAGAGAACGTCCGAGAAGCCAATCGCTGAAGACGGCCAAACTTATGCCGCATCATCATTGGGTACGAATGTAACGGACAGTTGTGAAAATATTCGTAAGGTGATTGGATTACAATGGAACACGACGGAGGATAAGCTCGTATTTGACATGAAGAATTATTCGGACTTGTTCGTGTCAAACACCCCTATTACGAAACGCAAGGTTCTTAGTGTGATTTCGAAGGTTTATGATTCCATTGGACTAATAGCCCCAGTGACGATCACTATGAAAGTGTTATTCCAACAGTTGTGTAAAGACGGCGTGGATTGGGATCAAACAATATCTGAAGAACTGTACTCAAAGGTAAAGGAATTGAAAGACGACTTAGAAGAATGTAAAACAATCCAGGCGGCACGTTGCTATGTCGAAGATATTGCTGATGAAATCAAGTCAGTTGAATTACTTGGATTTGCGGACGCGACCATTGTAGCATATGCAGCCGTAGTATACATCCGAGTTTTAACTGCGACAGGGAATCGAGTACAGTTAGTTGCTTGTAAGACACGCGTAGCTCCACTCGTAAAGAAATGCATTCCTCGTCTGGAGATACTGTCAGAAACTATTTTAGCAAGATTAATTAATTATCTCTATCCGCGAAGCACTCAGACCGATTGCCAAGATTAGCGGAACCTATTGTTGGTTAGATTCCCTAACGGCGATCTACTGGTTAAGAGGAGAAGGTAGAGAATGGAAGCCCTTTGTGCAAAATCGGGTCATTGAAATTCGAGGACTAATTCCTTCAGAATTTTGGTTTCATTGTTCTTCCGAACAAAACATTGCAGACATAGCATCAAGAGGAACTATGGCAACCAATCTTTTAAAGAATGACGAGTGGTGGAATGGTCCAGACTGGGTAAGGAACTACAACCCGAGACAGGCAGAATTGAGTAAACCCAGAAACGAAGTTCTACTAGAAGCAAAGGCATCCAAGATTCGTGAAGTACAAAGTACACGCGTTCACGTGAGTGCGATAGACGAAGCGGTTGGGAACATTTCTAAAGTCATTACATGCGAAGATTATAGTAGTGTCAGTCGGCTGTATTCCGTCACAGCCTATGTTCTAAGATTTATTGAGAATCTAAAACGAAAACGACAAGGAACGTCATTAGTTAAGGAGTGTTTAACGGCCGAAGAATTAGGACGGGCCGAATATTACTGGTTGTTATTCATACAGAGAGACGTACGTTCAGACAACAACTATGTCGAGAAGAAGAATCGTTTGGGACTGTTCGACGACACTAAAGGAATCATTCGTTGCAAGGGACGACTAGCTAACGCAGAAATATCATACGAAGAGAAATACCCTGCAATCATTCCAAGAAAGCATCACTTTACAACAATAACCATACGAGATTGTCACAGCCGGGTCGGACACAACGGAGTGCGTGAAACCTTAGCCGAATTCCGTTACGTTTTTGGATCGAAAGGGGGCGACAGGTAGTTCGAAATGAGATAGATAGATAGATAGATTGTTTGTTTAATAAGATTAACACATAGCAGCCAAGAGGCTGAATTGCGTGCTAAATTTTACAAGAGAAATGATTAAATTAGTTATTCTATATTTACAGAAGTTTAAAATTACATTACAATTTATAATTCTATATTACAGAAGTTTAAAGTTACATTACAAATTAGCTATGAAACTAGTAAATTTCTAAAAAAATGTTAGCCAGTCTAAAACTGAATATCAGAATCGATTGTCAGTTAATATTATTTATATGCCTTGCAGATGAAGGGAAAAAACTGTTTCTAAATCTGTTCGTTTTGGTCTGAGGAACAACAAAAGACCTTGAGTGTCTAAGGTCGTAATTTGGAAAGTATCTAGATGGTACATGATTATGCATATTAGCTACTGGTGTTGTGGTGATTTCATTAAACAGTTTCTCGCATGCATCCACACGCCTGTCACTTCATGGTTTGATGCCCGATTTTTGTAAACAATCCGCATAACCTGTCAGTGGATAGATGATTGATAAAACACGCTTTTGAACCCGTTCCAGGGCATTAGATAAGTAGGAAGGAAGGGCGAAGTGGAAAACTTGACAGCTGAATTCCATGACTGGTCTGACGCAGGTAGTGTAAAAATTTATTATGTCAGCTTCAGGTACATGAGCACGTTTCAACTGAATAATAAAATAAATCCGTTTGTTCGCCTTCTTAACTATGTTAGTTATGTGTTGGTTCCATTTTAGATCTTTAGAAATTGTCAAACCTAGGATTCTTGCGTGGTTCACTGTCTCGATTTGGCCTGAGATGATCTTAAGGCGCGGAAATTCTTTCTCAGGTTTTGTAAAACTGATAACAAGTTCCTTGCACTTGGAGGCATTTAATTGCATCTTGTTTTCTACAGACCAATTTTGAACACAATCGACTGTATCTTGAATTTTACTGGGTGTGTTGATGTAAATGATTTCAGATACGGTAGCATCATCGATGTATTTCCATCGCTCATGATGTGGGGGGCGTAGGTCATTTATCATTAGGATGAATAACCAAGGTCCCAATTTGGTTCCTTGGGGGACACCGGAAGGAATGTCAATCCATTCAGACATACAGTCTCTTGCAAGTTTCACCCGTTGTTGCCTGTTCATCAGAAAGTCAATTACCCACCGCTTAATGAAATTTGGCATTGGCAATTGGATGATTTTCGTGGCTAAGATCTTATGATCAATCAAGTCGAAGGCCTTCTTATAGTCAAAAAGAACCACTCTTACAGCGTTTCCAGTTCCATCTGTGGCTTGAGTCCACGCATGAACCATAGAAATTAAGGCTTTTGTAGCAGATGATCGAGGGATGCCACCAAATTGAAAAGGATCAATTGACGACAACACTGCTGGAGCGATATATTTTTCAACAACAAACTCTTCTGCAAGTTTAGACAGAACCGGAGTTAACGAAATAGGTCGGAGCTGTTTGCTTATGTCTTTAACAGGTTTCTCTTTCGGAATAGGTGTAACGTTAGCTTGTTTCCAGCATGAGGGCAGTCTTTTTTGCTTGTAGGACGAATTCAATAAGTCCGATACAGAGGGAGCAAGGATTTCGGCATAATCACGAAGAATCCAATTGGGGATATCATCAGGGCCCGGAGCTTTATGCGGGTTCAAGTTTTTCAGTTTTTTCAAGACCGATGCAGTATTTGTCAAATTCATGTTTACATCTAACGGATAATCAGGAATCTCCTCAAACAAGGTGTTCAAATCTGTGACATTTAAGGGATCATAAGTATTCATTGGTTCTATTAGGCTTTTGTTAATTAAATCTGCAAAACCTTTGTGTGTTAAATGTTCTGTATCTTCGACATGAAGTTGGTTAAGCAAACTGCCAGATACAGGTCTCATACCGGATATACGTTTAACCTCTGTCCACCAAGATTTGGGGTTAGACTTTTTCAGATTAGCAACTTTTGAAGCAAAATAGTCTGCCCGGCAAGATTTTCTCATTCTATTCACTTTATTTCGGTAGAATTTGAAAAGAGTAGTGTTATTAGATGAAAACGCACGTTGTCGAAACTTGATCAGCTGTTTCAATTTTTCGGTTATCCATGGGTTGTCGTTGCGATGAAATTTAACGTGTTTCTCAGGCATAAGGATGTCATAACCCGTCTTTATTGCGGAGCATAAGATATCACAATTCTTATCGCACGGTTCGGAGGAATCGATAAGTTGCCAGTCAAAGTTACTCAGATATCGACCAAGTTCTTTTTTGCGTGATTGACGTATGTCTCTTTTTATTACTGTCTTTCTACTTGTGGTTTCTGATGATGTTTTAACTTTGGGCTCAACCATTATCACATTATGGTCTGATAATCCGAAA